TAGGTCTGGTGCGTTGTCGTGGTCGGTGCTGAGTCCTAGGGCGCATCTGGTGGTTTTCTTTAACCCACTTCGAACCCCAATAAACCTTGGTACTCCCATGTGTCCATGTCTGTCTCTCCTTCCTTTCTTCATTCACAGGGACTGTTTGATCCGGATATCGTCGTTTTGATCCCACTTAGATTAGTCGGGATTTGATATTTCGAAATAGTTTATCTTCCAGAATTCGCGTGAGATTTCTTGCCTATCCAAAGAAGCGGGCTTGTGTTTTTGACCTTTCGACTAAAGGTGTTTAAACCCCGAAAAAACCTATTCTTTTCCGAGGACCGAGGGTAAATTTGAAAATCTTCTGAGATCCTTGTGGTTGTTGGGACGTAAGACCTTGAGTTACGGGATCCGATCTCTGTCATCCCATATTACTCAAGAAATCATCTACCGCGTACGGGGTAATCCGAACATCGGCTCCTTCTTCTTAAATTTAATATAAAAGGCATACAAGATATCCCTCGGTCCATTCCGTCGTCTTGTCCATCATTACAAGCCAGGGAAAAGGATTGAGACCATCATGTGCACGACTCGTAAAACAATAGTCCGACTCGCTGAATTGACCTGAAGAACCATGTGGGACTATTAATTTCTCAATGTTAATAGGTCGGAACTTCATCTTTTACCGTACAAATTGTCAAAGAGACCGTAGCAACTACCCGTTTCTATACATAAACCACATAAAACGGCAAAGAGCCCTTGGGTAACCAGCTAAAACCACTAACTGTAAGAGAAACTGGAATCTCGGTTTATCTTGCTTCCCTCAGGTGTATGGTGAGTTATGGCAACACTCTGACTATTAGAAAAAAAAAAAAAAATTTGGAAATAATTGGTCTACCCAAAGGGTAACTCTAAGTAGCTAGAGAAAAGTTCCCCCTGGACAGGTTTGTCCCGGTCGTTTATCCAACGTGTACTTTATTTTGTTTGTCTTATTGTGTTATTTCCTGACAATGTTGGGCCGAGGACCCGAACGTTGTTTTCGTCCCTCCCGACTCTGTTTCCCATTTTTTATTGTTAACAAATACGAAGTTATTTGGTTACATCTGCATAACGCTCTGCATAGGCCGACCGAGGAAGAACATAAGAACGGTTCGTGCACACGCCGAGGTAGACAAGTCCACGTCGAAGTAAGGCCGTCCACGTCGAAGAAAAGTCCGTGACCTTGCGTTAGTGGTGTTTGTGTGTGTGCTTGTAGTTTGGTTTGATATTTTCCCATGAAGATTTTTCATGGGCACATATAGACACATGCATTTCCAAACATTTGGACTACCTATGTTGCAAATGTATTATCTTTTCAATTTACACACGGCATCTATTGCACGTCTGTCCGTCCTGGGAGAGGGGTCCCTCCTCTGTTGCTCCCTGAGGTTTCTCCCATTTTCCCCTTTAAACTGGGTTTTCTCCAGAAGTTTTTCCTTGTACGATGTGAGGGTCTAAGGACAGAGGGTGTGGTATTGTCATACTGATATTCTGTACAAACTGTGAAGTCCACCGAGACAAATGTAACATTTGTGATATTGGGCTATATAAATAAACATTGATTGATTGATTGATTGATCCACCCAAATGACCCCAAAGGTGGGTTTCTTTCTTCTAAATCTCTCTAAAAAGGTCAAATTTCATTTGTTTTGCATCAATCCTGATACAGGGTACTTATTTGATATAGTTTGGATTCCTAAAGCTTTTAGTCCAATGTCCCATCATTCAAGGGTGGTTTTCAAATTTCACTGAGTAATGTTTTTTGACGGACACTATCATTTTTCTTTTTCTACTATGTTCAATCGGAATTTACTTTAAAATGAAAAAGATTTATATTGATTCTGACTCTTCTACATCCAACTCACAGGTTTATCATTGCTTTGAGAAAAAAGATTATAAATTTACCCCTTTTTGAAGTGAAGATATAGTCTTTTGTTCTGGGAATATCATTTTCGAGCCTGGCTTAACAGGTTAACCTTCCCTACAATAAAGTAAATGGTTAGATTGTAACATCCAAAAGACAACATTAATTTGACCGTGTGGCATTTTTTTCTTTTTTACACAAGGGCTCAAAGAAAACGTGTATTACCCTGTGTGTAGTTTTGTTTTTCTAGTAAAGTGAAACGTAACCTTTGCGTCCTCTCACAAACTAAATAATTGTTCAACAGTCCCTAAGTAGATTAATTTATTAGCTAATCGACAGATCAGTTTTGAGTGAGACAGTTAAAATACCTCTGGTTTTAGTTTATTGAATGTAAATATGTGGTTGTTTTCTTAATCTGCTATGATAGGAACCTGAATATCTTCGTCTTTGTCTC